CATTTTGTCACACGCTGTAGCATTGCCCATTCCCCCCGAGGCACGAGAGGAAGAGGAGTGAGAATACAGGGAAATGACAGAAAGAGCTGGTGAGTTCTGAGTTAAGTCAGAGGCTGAGCTGAACACACTCCCAAACATAGAGTTGCTGTTGCTATCTAGCTTATAGCTAACATGCAGTTGATACTAGTGGTTTTTCAATGAAATATTATGCCGATATGCCTTAGTGTATAGAATTTGTAATTATTAATGAAATAGAAAAATACGTTATGTTATGCTGCAGATTTCAGACTGGTGAGGTACAGTTTGTCAGAAGGGATGTCATTCAGCTGCATTATTCTCTACAGTATAACAATATATATTTAAAGCTAGACAGTAGGGCTGACCCTGAATAGTCAAAGATTCGATGCTTCGATGGGCGGAGCCTGATTTGTCTGTCAATCTCACAGTTGAAGCTTCGCAGCGAAACAAGGATCATGCCATTTTGCCAATATGGAGGTGCTCAACGTCTGATTTTACATAGAACTACCAATTTTCTCCCAATAAGTTAATATACAGTCTATTACAATATACATTTCAATGTTTAATGCTGTACATAAACATGTCAAAAGAATAAAAATTTCAATAAATATTTTGTGCCTCGATAAATCCAAAATTGTAACCCTAACCCTGGGTCGTCAGTGTGTATGTGTGAAGCAGCAGTAAAAGAAGCTTGCCGAAGAAACGGAGCTCCAGCTTCATGGTGTTGTGCCGAGTTGTCCGCACCTCGCAGGACTTTCGGATAATTTATCACCGTTGATAAACCACACAAAGAATATTTTGTTTATTTATCGTTTTTAAATAGCCGGCTACTTGAAATAGACGCGCGAGGAACCATGAAGTGCATGTAGTAGTTGGAAGCACGGCATGCACGCTAAACTCTGCACATGATAATATCCTAGTAACAACAGATTCACAAGAGGTCCAATATTATCCCTAAATCTTTCACATGTGTCTGAGACACAATTTCACTTCCGTTTGTCTTTGACAACTTTGTCTTAGTTCCAAACAGGATCGACTCGAGATCGAGTTTTTTAAAACAACATAGTATCTATGAGCTTAAGAAACATGATCTCAATCTCATTGATATCTTTCCCAGATAACAGCAATGCAGAATCATCATTACACAACATGTAAATGTACAGTATATGATAGCCTTTTTGATAATGAATTTGAGAAATTTGACAAAAAATCACCTCCTGATACAATTTAAATGGTATAGGGCCAGATTTACTAAAGGTTTGCATGAGTAGAAACGTGCAAACTTGATATCACCAGAAAATTAACATGTAAGCTGATCTACTAACGGAATGACGTCTTTCAAAAGTGCAAGATAGCTCCTGTTGTTCATTTACTACTTTTGCCTTAATAATTTGGGGCGTTTCAAGTTGTTGTGAAAAGTAATGGGAGGTTAACATGCAAATACCTTTATTTACTACACGCAATGTGATCTAACAAGCCTAAAAGCAATTTCATGTGCGTGCAATAGCATCTGTATTTAATACGTTTGAAAGGAAGGTGCAAACCGCCAAGTGTTGCACAGAGATGGCTGCTGTTATCATTGCGAGATGGAGACACAGCCGTAATGAAAGAATAAGTAAAGAAATTAAAGCTACAAGAAGGAGTCACACAGTACCTGCCGTGCCCAAACGTCTTGCAATTCTGCATTTCCTCACGTTTGGATCATTCCAGCATACTGTAGCTGTTTCTGCTGGGGTTTCCAACGCAGTTTTTCAGGTGTGCTGTCCCAAGTACTTAGTGCAATCTCACACAGGATGGGCAGGTACATACGATTTCCACATACTTAGACGCACTAAAGGAAAAAAAACGCAGTGGCTGTTTTCCTTCACGACTTTTCATGGCTGAAACCATTAAAATATCCAAAACCCTCATTTAAATACTGTCACCTCCATTGTGTTTGCACCTGTTGTCACTTACGCAATAATTCTTAGTTAATCACCCATAGTAGGTAATATGATTACACGTGCAATATTTTAGAATGGATATACAATTTAGTACTCTTTATTAGGGGTGTTAGTAAATATGGCCTATATAGTGTGTTAGTGTGGGGCAGTCACCCTGCCCTCTCTCTCAAGCATTTTAGTGTTTATATCATCATCAGGATGAATTCCATTGCATTGTGCTTCTCACTTTCTCCAGCATTATGTAAGATATGTTTATTTGTGCGATTTAGTGGTAATTCACCACTGTTGCAAAGGAATTAAATTATGATCAAAAATTAACTTTGCAAACACAGCCAAAGACTGAGAAGAAGAAGTGTGGCAACACAATACCTAGCAATATTACATGTTAGTCCAACTGTGTACACTGTCTTGCAGATTTGTATTTTACGAAGCTCTCTCCAAAGTCTGCCAGCCCCTTGCTTGGACACTCTTTTTTTCTCTTCTTAGCTTTCTCTGTCAACATCCTCTCCGGTCTCTTCACTTCTGCCATTAGCTAACGTTATGTCCACAGAGGCTGCTAAGCCAGGTTATGTTGCTTGCTCACCCGGGTCCGGCTCAACACCAGCAGCAGCATAATGTTACTTGAAACTCCGGTGGCAAGCTAGCTAACAAAGCTAGACAGCAACTGATACAAGAGCACTGTCCAACTGTGTTATCTAGTACTTTTGCTAACAACAACTCGAGATTTATAGCTAGTGGCTAAACCTCTGTCTGTTAAACCTCTGGCTGATTTTGCTCGAGTCAACATCAAGCAAGCACAACACACAAGACAAAGCAAGCCAGCTAATAAGTTATTACTAGTCCCACAGCAAGGAGGACAGCTCGGCACATGTCTTGCATCCTTTCAGCTCTTTTAGCTCACGGCAACGAGTAAAAGCCCATCCAATATTTGCTCTCGTCTGGAGTCTTACTAGGTCACTCTCTCTTTTTCTCTTCCTCACTTCCTCCGTCTTCTTCAGTCTCTTTGCAGCCTCTGCCATAATATCCATACTGCGATATGCTTGCCCGCTGAAGACTTTTCTTCTGTTCTCATAATAGAAATCCTTCCCTGGACTTTAGTTCTACATAGTGCTGGGCAAAGCTTGCACAACCCAGAGAGTTAATGATAGCAATGTCCTATTACAAGTCAGTGTACTCTCAAAATGATTTTGAAGCTGTTATTTTAAGATAAAAATACTACATAATGTTGCTTTAAAACAGACATAACGTATATATTCTTTACAGCAACATGACAAATACCATCAAATAAGATGTCATTCCTTACACTGAATATTTTGTCAGCCTGTTTCTATAATTGACACATCCTCCAATGACAAAGACCTGCTGGGAGACGTGAGAATGTGAGAGTAAATTACACTTCCTAATCTCACTCGCCGCAGGAAGCTACTGTAAATAATATCAATATGTTCTGAATCTACTAGTTATATGAGAGTTACAAAAAGATAGAAAACTTCTCCATTCTAACCTCTCAGGATCATTATCTTTTCAAGCATTCAAAATATCTACGATATAAGGTTGTCCACCTCCTCCATTGAAAAAAAGGAGGTTGCGAGGGCAACTTTTTTTCTGTTATTGTGTCTCCCACTGTCTGTGTATGCGTGTGTTGCTGCGTGTAGTTGCATGGCGGCAGCCTGCTAGGCAGAGACTGCTGTTGGTGATGGGGGACATTGATTTTTTTCTCTCCCCCCTCTGTTTTCTCTGGGATTTTGACAGAATCATAGCACCATGGAAACAAAGAAACTGCTTTGTGACAGAGGAAAACCTTTCATTTCAGCGGGAGCGAATGGCGGCTTGCCGCTGATAACAGCATGGGTAATCACACACACACACACACACACTTACAGAAATACATGTGCGCACACATCTAGGGAACCACAAAGCACTCACATATAAGGTTAAAGTATGATTGTTGCACGTGATTGTGAAAATAAACAACTCAAAGGTCCCTTTTCACTAAGCTGCAGCTCAGACACACAATCATAGTTATTATCAGCCTGCAGGAATAGGTGTCAGTTGAAGGGTTTTACCTTCTGTCACAAACAATACAGATGCATATAGCCTACCTAATGTTTTTTGATATACAGAGCTTATTTATCTAAAGAACTGTCCTTTTGCAGGCTAATTTTGGATAATTTAGCACACATTACACAATCATCCTACACAACTACAGTATTTCATTGAGCCTAGTTTACTGCCAAATTACTGTTATTTGGTAATGAGTACGGCTGTAGAAAGTGCCATAGACTTTGTGTGTGTGTGTGTGTGTGTGTGTGTGTGTGTGTGTGTGTGTGTGTGTGTGTGTGTGTGTGTGTGTGTGTGTGTGTGTGTGTGTGAGTGTGTGTGTGTTTGTGTTCATCTGGTCATAACTGAAAATAGGCCTGTTTTCTTGTTGGATTTAAGAGCATAACTGATGTAAGCAAACCTTATTGTCTGGTGTTTTGCCCGGTATTACTATCAAAGTTTTATTTTCCGTTTACTACTGACTGTGCAGTTAAGGCCCTCTGAGTAAGACCTCAATCAGCTTTATGAAATGTAATTGTACTATTCAGCGCAGTTTGGTTACAGTTCCTTTAGACAATTTTTGCAGTATCGTTTTAAGCTAACCATAATTCAACAAAGCATCTGGAAAAACAACATCCTAATAGATAGCATGCAGTAGGAACAGTGAAAGTCCAGAGTCAGATTGCTCTTCATTAAACGATTTGACCCCAAAATATTAGATTTCAGAGATTCTATTGCATTTAGCATCTTTTCTATCATTATTGAGATGACTAGGGATCAAATCGATTCTGTGTCAAATTAACTTGAAGAACACCAGACTGCCTGGCTGTCATTGTGTGTGTGGATTTTTCCAGATGTGTTTAGGTGCACTTAAATTAAATTAATGTCCATGTGCAGGCATGTCTGTCCTCATATACAGTTCTTTGTAATTGTGCGTGTTTGTGTGCGTGTGTGCATGTGTGTGCTGCAACATGCTGAGTTTGTCTCTATTGAGCTGTTGGTGTAATCTAAACAGCTCTACCGAAAGGCTCCAAACCTGAACCAGAACAGACAGACAGCGGTCAGTGGTCACTGAGAACAGACAGTAAAGGGACAAACAACTGCACTGCAGGACTGAATTGCAGTCTGTGACTGAAATGTTTTGCAAACTTTCATTGGATGAATAAAAACTCTTAAACCAGGAATTTAATATGTATGTTTGCATATAGTAGCTCAAAACGTGATTGCAAATTCACATTGATTCTTTCTAAACAGTTGTGCAGCCATATTTTAAGTCCCTTTCACACATGCACTGTAATCCTGAACATATCTAGACACTGCTCAGAGGAGCTGTATGTGAGAACGTCCGATTCAGTTGGACCTGACATTTAACTGACTTTACTCTGCCAGCTACCTAGTAGTCTGTTTAATGTACGATTGAGCCCATGTGTGACTAGAGCAGGTCATTGTCCACAGAAGTCACAGCAGGTGAGTGGACATGTTGATGACTTTTGTAGATATAGTGGATCCTTCCAAATACATGTATTATTGATATCAACACAAAAAAAACATGACAGATGAGTCCAGGCGCCACCTCTCGCCACTGGAGAATTTCCAGTAGGTGAGAATGTGTCTGACATGGATAGTGTGCTACATTTCTGAGGGCAACTCCAGGTAATATCTGGACCTGATTCTCCGGACAAAGTCTGGCGTTTATGCATGACAGCAGATTTAGAGTCATTATTGCGAATAGAATTCCATTCACAACCAATAACCAATAACATAAGCCATGGGCCGAATGTGGGGGTCTGTTAGCTTATTTGGAATGGCATTAAGTTGACAAAGTAAGCATCGTTTAAAGGCATTAAGCATCAAAATTCTGTCGGTGTTAACTATTTTTAAATCTCAATATCACAGCGTCTACTGCGTATTTTGTAACAGGAGGGCATACGAAACAGAACATTAACAAAAATAGGCAAGAGACGACCTTACATTTCTACCAAGTTTGTGCCTCTGCAAATTTGGTTTGTTATTACTTAGACTAAGTCTGACTTTTTGGTTGTAAATTCCAAAGAGTTGTCTTTCAGAAAAGAATAACAACCATTTAAAATGTTCTGATGTGTGGTGTAGTGCCTTCTGTAAGCCCACTGCAAAGTTTGCTTACTTACTTTAAGGGAATATGTTATTTATTCAATAAAGAGAACATTTATTTTTGTCAACAGAAACTTCCAAACAATGGTCTACAAATTCACAGATACACACATTCACAGCTTCTCTATAAAATCCAAGGCCATGGAGGAAATGGCATGTTGTTGTAATACATTTTGCTGCATGAGTGTCAAACTCCATAAACCTGCTGCCTGATAAAAGCCAGCCCCTGCTTACATGTCAGGGGCCATTTAGATCCACTCACTGTCTGAGCATCAGAGGCACTGCAAATTGCATTGCATTTTAACGCTAATAATTTACATAAATGTGTGCAAATGAATCCCAGCAGAAATCCATTTTAAGTTGCACGTTTCAGCAAATTCAGATAGTTTGAATCCAAAATACAAGCTAAAATCTTCATGCACGTGAATAAATATACCTCAGAATCTGGTGCATTGTGGAATCATCCTGAGAGAGGGACTGGACAGCATTTGATGTTTTGATGTGCATTCGCTGCATCTCTGCCCTGGCCTTTCGAGGATGACTCGTCTCATCTGAAGCCACTCACAGCTAAATGTCCCATCTGGTAACATTTCCACGTTTCTCCACCTTAAATCAATAGCAATAATTTTCCTAAGACCCTGATGCACACACACACACACACACACACACACACAAGGACACATGCGTAGGTCCACTTCTCTTTGTTTCAGCTGCCATTTAATTTGATTGCCGTTTGTGTGGATCTCCATCCTTTGAGCAATTGGCTTTGAATGTGCATTTCTGTTTGAAACAAAACGTATGCCTGTTCCTTGATGCGCACCACATATCCTTCTCATATTCTCATCTCTTGATTAAATTCTTTGATCGTTTCCCATCCAGTGTTGCTGATTTGTGGTTTATTGTTTAAGCGTTTTGGCTTTCCTACAAATCCATGCACCAATGTAATGCTGCAGATGCACAGGAGCTGACACACACATGCACCGGTCTCCATTTTAGCTCGCTCCTGCTGCAGGTTGGGGTTGTGTGATGGCCGACACTCTGCTTCAAGGTGCAACACATGGATGCAGTTTACCTCGAACATGCATGTGAACACACAAGAATAAATACACACAAACGCACGCGCACTCTCCTACTCTCTCTTCGCTCTCTCACACATGCGAACACACTTCACCCGCACACTGTGATTGATTCAGGATCGGTGGAGCCGAGGTAACGGTGAGTGATGCTTCGTTATTAATGTATCCAAATGAGATAATTACTCAGCCCTTCTGCTCCTCTGCCGGTCATCCAGTTAGTTAAACACGCGCCGGGGATTATGATGTCAGCCAGATTAAATGATCAATTACACACACACAGCAGAGTGCATGCTCCCTCTCCCTGTCTCTGAAAGCACACACACATAAATACGCACATATAAACACAAGCGGGATATGAACATGTGTGGATATTGAGTGTGTGTATGTGTGTGTGTGTGTATGTATACTGTATGTGTGTGTTGGTCAGTGGCCGGTTGGTTGGGGGCCCCGGCTTTTGACCTTGAGCTCAGGGGTCAGGCAGCAGACGGCCGGCCAGCTGGACATTTCCATCTCAAAGACCCCGAGGACCCCTTAACTCTCTCTTCTGCACACACACACACACACATGCACACTCACACACACACACACACTCACACACACACACACACACACACACACACACTACCTCTAAGATCCCCTCCCTCCTTTTACTTGTATCTCATTTTCTCCTGCTGTGGATGGTTGGATGGTTTATGAGTGCGGAGAAGCTACAGCCATTCATTTCTTCCTAACTGGGGGTCTAATGGAGAGGTCTACGCTGGAAACCTGAGCTCTCACTGAGTAATGAGCCGCCCTTTACTGTCCAGTGTGTGCATGTAGCCTTGTGTGTGTGTGCACTGCCCAGCCGGCTCTGTGCGGCCAGGCTCTGACCCTGTAAATGATGTCTCTCCTCCCCTCATCCACAGTGGCTCTTTACTGCTAATAACCTCTGATCAGATCTTAGATGGCAGAGCCCTCCGCTGGGCCTGGACTACCTCCAGCCCAACAGCCTGCTAATACGCTCCAATCAACCGTGGGCTTCTCTATTGGAGGTTGATACACAGGGATCCGAGGTGGGGACGGGTCACGCCCAGCGCCCCCATGTAGTAGCCCCACCAAAGCCCTGCCGACTACCTTTGCCATCTCTGAAGGAACGGAGGGGCTGGGAGGGAGTGGAGTAGCAGCAGCGGTGTGTGTGGGGGAGGGAAAGGGAGCAAGCCATTTCTCCACAGTCTAATGTAGTTAGGGCAGGGCCGATCAGTCATTCCGACCAATACTAACCATGTCGCTGGGCCTCTCCTCCCATCTTCTCCACACAGGAGCCACAGAGAGCTGCACTGTACATTTACCTGCAATTAGATTTGCTCGAGCATCCTGCTGGGAGTGATGGAGGCCCCTCAGACCCGGAGATGGCAACAACTCCAGCTCTTTGTGTGTATTTCATACATATGTACATGTAAGCAATGTATACAATGCTTGTATTTACTTATTTTTGTATTTGTGTCCATTCCTGTGAGAGGAATAAACATAATGTAACACTTACATTGTGCATGCATGAGTGCTTCTATCTGTATGTGTGTGTGTGTGTGTGTGTGTGTGTGTGTTTTAGTAACATATTAAGGACTTGGCTGCTTGGTGACAGCCCAGTAGTGTTTGCCCGGCTCAGTGGATGGATAATGATTTAACCATTGAAGATTAGTGATCAGATGAAAACAATGGAGAGTCTGATAGCTGCCACTGTCTGTTTGCTCTGTCCCTACCTGGAAAAGGCAAATCTCACACACACACACACACACACACACACACACACACACATAACATACGATAGTTTAATCCCCTGTCACTGAGCTCAATGCTAAACTCAATGTAAGTGTCCACACGACACAGGAACACCTTAACTAGAGCAAGGACTCGTGTGTGTGTGTGTGTGTGTGTGTGTGTGTGTGTGTGTGTGTGTGCGTGTGTGTGTGTACGAGCGACCGTGTGAACCTGTGCTGTGTAAACACGTCTGCAGTTTCGGAGGGAGGCTCTCTCTGCCTGTCCGAATGCACACACACAGATTCCATTCCCTCGTCCCTGAACCTCCTCCCCTCCCTCGCCCCTCTCCTTTCGTCTCCCCTCCTTTCTTCTACAATCGTTCCTTTCTTCACACACGCACCCCCCTCCCCACCCCCAATATCTCTGTGATTTACAGCTCCTGGCCCCTCCCCACACCTCAGCAGCACATTAAGAGCCTTTAAACTGTAGCCGTTACTAAACAGGGGTCTTTATGGAGCCAGTCCACACATCTAAAGCCCATTACAGCTACATCAAAGCAGGATAACAATGACTAATGAACAATAGATATCATGAGAGACTGTGCCAAATCAGTATTCACTGTTACCGAGAGGGTGTGTGTATGTGTGTTAGGGGCAATCTTAGCTCCATTCATTTTTTTCCTCTCATAACATGTGTGCTATATCTACAGTATGTCCTCATGTATGTACTAACATGGTTTTAGTTGTGTAGCAACATGTCAGCATGTTTTGTGTTCGTGTGTATCTGTGAATGCAGTGATGTTTATGGGGTGTGAGTGTGTGTGTGTGCATATAGTGGGTTTAAAATGTCCTTTCAATCGCTGGGTGTTACATCTGTGTCTACGCCTACAAGGTCCTAGAATCACCAAACATGCCATATGAAGAACATGTTTTATCCACACAAGTGCATGCAGTCTTATCTTGGATTAAAACAGTGGGTTCCAGGCACATAATAACCCCCAAACTCCAACAGCCAGCTTTAGTACTGCACTCTACCTGTTGACTTAAACAGGACCATCCTCTTTCCCTTCCTTGTTGAGACTTTGAGCCTATATGAGTGTGCAGGTATTTTGCAGGCTTTGCCCCGCACTGCAGTTTTGAATGGAGAAGGTGGAAGTGGCATCCGTAATCCCATAATGGCAGGTACATGATGACAGGGGGAAGCTGTGTAATCCTCTTTTAGATGCAGCTATCATTGTCTTTACACCAGCTACTTTCCCTACTAATCCCTCCACCTGCCCCCGCGCAGCCCCAAAACCCACACACCCAAACGCAGAAACACTCCTGTGTGTACCCACCATGCCATGCATGATTAATTATGATTAATGCATACTGATTGTCTATTTCAACATTTTGTCAACACACAAACGCACATGTTCTTATATCCTCAGAAATTGTATGTCTAGGTGATGGCACACAGGCATATTTCGGGCCAAAATGAATGCAATACCAGCCAAAGAGACCAACAGGCAATGCTGAATGACAAATTGGACAGTTGGAGAAGTGGAAATTAATAAAGTAAGAGATACTGCAGCCATCAGTGTAATCTTGGCCTCCGATTTCATGCTGAAAAATGTTGAAATCTTTTATCAAGGTTATTAATTTACACCTCATTTATAATAGGCTCATGTACAAACAAACAGAAAGAAATATTCCACTGTCATCCATCTGGGTTTCGCTATCATAACACCTCCACAGAGGGCCATTATATATGAAATATATTGATAACACATAACCATAACCCTATCAATCTTGTCTCTGATTGGCTGATGTTGAATATTGCATTAAAGTTGGTTCTCTGAATAAGGGTGGCAGAATTTCAATCTATGCTTTGATTTTACAGAGAAAATATTTCCATTTGCCAGCCAAATTTGCCTGTGCATGTCTAGAAAAAGTAACACCCATGTTGACGGACTAAAAAGAAACTAAAGGAAAATTTCAGTTGTGCATATTTAAATTGAATATGACAGTACAGCCACAGCTGGCATGAAGATGTTTACCTATATAAAGGTTTACAAACACTGATTCCCATACCTTACAGCACACACCTTCTTCAATGAAGTTTCTTTTCTTCTCACACACACATAGACAGACATACATACCAGCACAACACTAGTTTAACACACATACACTAGCAGAGACAGAGATTGTGCACAACGGTAAGCCGCTCACAGCGATACACACATACACATCACACACAAAGGACAGTCTCTTGTTGACATAAGATATATAATCCTTCCCCTTTCCGAGATATAGATTTTCAGGCACAAGTAAAGGACAGCAATCCTTGACCTAACCACTGAGAGCCTTGTTAAATCTGCACACACTGTGCGCAGTGCACACATCACTTTTAACAGGTGGAACCTAGTTATTAAATATGGCACCTCCTATAGTGTAAGTGTCTGAGAGGATCTTAACTGATCAAGAGGGACACTCCTGTTCGAAGCATTATTAAAGTTTAAACAAGGATATCTACTTCTGAGCATTTCAGTTTCATGGGACACTATACAATACTGTTGTACACGTGTAAAATCAGATAAACTTCTTTTATTTATTGTAGAATCACCTTCCATAAAACTTCATTACTCTTTTTTTATCTTGGTTATGTAAACTTAACAATTAAAAACAATGCAAAAAAATACAGATTAATACTCATGTTATTTACAGTTTTGGCAACTAGACATATACACTGCCAGGGGAGTTTGAAGCTTGCTGCTGTATTTTGAACTTGGTGCTCAAGCACTCAAAATAGAAATTTAAACATGTACAATTACATGACAACTGGAGGAACTCCATCTGCTAATGAAGGATTGTCAACAACACTGGACATATTGTGTAATTGCCTGCCTTTTTATGTCCTTGTTCAGGACATAAAAACAATGTGCATTTTACATGAGGCATAACATTGGGAGTGCAGGAATCCATCTTGGATGTAGAAACGAACAAACGAAATGCACTTCCACCCATTTCAGCGTGCTTGTTGACACTAAATAGAATTCATTATCATTTATTTTGTTTAAGAATAAAATCTGTTTATCTTTCTGTGAGCTGGACGGTCTGTCTGTACAAAACAAGGACCTCGGAAAGAAAGCATCCTCCTTTTTTATTTACCATATAATCCTGTCCCCAGTGTGTACCTGCTAGCGCACTGACCACAGAGCCCTCAAGCCAAGCGGTCACCGACCCTTCACCCCTGACCCCCTCAGCTGGTCAAACTCTAACCCTGGAACAGATGGATAACGGACTCTATGCTTTATCTCTGCCTAGCCACACTCTCCTCCCTGCCACAGCATTTTCTTTCACCTCTTGTTGCCCTCCCTCTCTTTTTCCTTCATCTTCCCTGCCCCGCTCTTGATTGCCTAAACTCACAGATCCATTCCTGTCGTCACCTGTGTTTCGCCATTACTCCTTTTCCTTCTACAACACTCCTCCCCTGTACCGCTCTCACATATTTCACGCCATCACTTCTTTCATCTTTACCCTTTCCCATTTCCTCCCTCTATCAATCCTTACCCGGATGCTTCTTTTCTGCAGTGTGGTTCATCAGCACTCCTCTAGAGCTTTAGTGTAAGATTATCACAATATGACAAACAGACAGAACTATGTTTGAAAAATGTGACAAGCAATTACTGTGATTCAAATCATATGCCAGCTATAAGTCACAGCATTCAACGGCTCATTTCAAAACCACTTGTCTTGTGTCTGCAATATAGTAAAATGCCATGCAAACATCAATCTAAACATTGTGACTTCAGTTGTGTAATTATACTTTCACACAGGCATACATACATGAACTTAAGTGATTACAGAAAAATAAATATTACAGTAATTGTAGCACATAAATAGTTTAGTGCTACTCATATGATATAGCCTGTGATTATGTGTCACTGATAAAAATGTATTTAAGCAAAGCCCTAAGTCTGAGTCATTGGGGCACCATCTACATCCCACTGCATCCCTAAATTTACATTTTATTTATCCTGCAAAGGAATATTTTAGTCACATCTAAATAATAGTCCCATATTTCCTATCATCTATACGTGTGTGTGTGTGTGTGTGTGTGTGTGTGTGTGTGTGTGTGTGTGTGTGTGTGTGTGTGTGTGTGTGTGTGTGTGTGTGTGTGTGTGTGTTAATGTATGGGATCATTATAAACATTTATGCAGCAAAGGAGCCTCTCGTGCCAAAGGGGCTGACGCTCAGGCGGATCGAACCTTTCGATTGATACTGAAACAATTTGCATACTGATTCTCTTTCAGTGCGCACGGATCCATAACAACACCGGCCAGCTATTCAAATGCGCCTGCATCGAGAAAAGCACGGAGAGAAGCACGACACCGGAGAAGGAAAAGAGAGGCTTTTAACGGGATGGATAATTTGCCATTGGAAACGGGGACGCATCAGCTGCTAAGGATGTTTACCTCGGTCAGGATTTGGGACTCTGGCAGCTCTGGAGAAAAGCTGGAAGCCGGAGGAGCCGGAGGAGGAGGACGAGGGAGAGGGTGGGACTGGAAAAACACACACGGAGGAGACTCGCATCCTCTATTTTTTTGTTTTGTTTTGTTTTGCAACTCGTATGTTGGAGTTAAAGAGTTTATGTACATTGATGCTCAAGCTCTGTCGTTGTGTGCGCTGCTGTATGGGAATGAGCTGGGAGGCTGTTTAAATGCATGACAGAATAGGATCCTGCGGTAAAGTGTGTGCGCGAGTGCGCGTGTGTGCATGTGTTTTATGTGTGGCGAAGAAGAAGAGGAGTTTAAATGCAGACATTTTGCACCCTGGCACCCTGTTGAGAAGAGACGGTCCACCCTGTTGAGAAGAGTGCCATCCAAGTCTGACGCACAGCATCAGACTGTTTCTCTGCACTCTGACAAACTTACAGCAGCTGCGGCACATTTCAAACTGTGATGTCTGCATGCTGGCATCAGTTTATGGCCAAACAGGTTGTCTGGAGGAATTAATTTAATTAACGATTCGGCTTCATTAAATGTAGTTATAATAACTAGTGTCAAGCCCGCAGTGGGCAATATTACAATGACTTATTGGTTGGTTTTATAGGCATAATGCAGAGCTGTGTATCTGTAGTCAAGGTTTGGTATTTTAAATGCGGGCTTACTTTACTAACAGCTGCCTTCCAACAAAATACATAAGCAAAAACATTAACTGTTGCTGATAAAAGTTAATTAAGTGCACGAACATTATAGCTGTCCATATGCGCGCGTACACACACACCTTTAGACTCAAATTTAGCTGTTCAGCAAAATAAAAATAAAGTCATTGTAAATGCATTTATGTGAAGCAGTAACGTTTCTCTTGAGATATGAACACGTGCTTAACTTAGATGCAAAGGCAACGGTCTTGATTATGCAGGAAAGCATGCTGTCATTCTATCTTATTAGAAACCAGCCTCACCCTTTTGGTGTCATCCCATGGGAACATGTTAATCTATTTTGACATAATGCTAAAAAAAAAGAAATCCCTAATTATCAGGGCCAAAATTTGAGTGGGTAGTCCTGTCTAAATAAGGAAATATTCATACAGGGAGGAATTTGCATTGTAGTTTATAATATAAGAAATGCCAGGCTACATCTCAGAGAACACAGTCCGTAATTGTTCTTTCCTTAGTTACCATATTGAGTTGTAGAGAGCTCAATTATCCTTGTAAATGCCCATAATGTCAGATATTTTAAAGAAAGTTAGAGTCATTCGATTTGCTTATTCCTCTGCTTTCTTAAAAAAAAGCAGAGGAATTAGGGCGGCAAAAAATATAACATCAAAATTTATTATTTTCAGCAATCTCAGAGATTTGGAAGAAGCTTTTTTCAGTTTCCCTCAAACTGATTATTGACATTCAAGAAGCCACAGTCCGTTTGAGTAAGAAGTCATGTGGATTTGAAATGCGCATTTAGAGAATCACCGTGGGGCTGATTTGGCTATCGTTGACACGGTTTTGTTGTCATAATTGGAGTCTCGCCAAAGTTACAGGGAGTAATTGGTCGGCATATGGACACCTTAATGTAAAGTGATGCCTTATTAATTTCACATGAGTGCACGAATCACAGCAAGTGACGCGGAATAACACAAGGGAAGAGGCAGTTGATTTACCCCTGTGCAAGGCAGCAGGTCCGGCATCTGCTGCTCGGACATGGTGGCATTTTTATTAATTAGGGGGAAATTTTTAAAAAGTAAATTCCTTAATCAAAGGGCGGAGAATTCAAGTCGTTTAATTATTATGGCTCTGATGTTTGTTCGCTCCAGTTTGGTCACATTTTTATTCACGTTTTGACTTTGACAACTTAGACCGGATCGTCTTGAATGTTCTAATAGGGGCTTGAAAACTGTAGAGGCTTAAAAAGAAGATGATCTCTCTTTAGCTCTTTATGTAATCTCGGCTTGTCGCCTGTTGGCCAGTTTGTATTCACGTTGCTTATTTTTTACTTGCTTTTTCAGCCTCAGAATAAAGTAAAACATATTAAAACATCTGTACAGCTTTAATACTGTTTTGATTAGTATGTGTTTTCCTTTAAGAGATACCTGGGTTGCTAATTTAAATACTCGCCTTATCTAAATGAAAAATATATATATACGCCTAAACTGCCGCAAAGTACATATTAAAAAATACATATGTTTTTGTTTATTCTAACATATCAAAGGCCTTAGCCTGAGTTCCTCCAGGAATTATAATTTTATTCAGTATTGATTGGCGCGGTGTGGTGTGTTTTCAAGGCCTATACTTCAAATGCGCTGTAAAGGCCAGCCCAAAACACTGCAATACACATTTTTAGAAAAGAGCGCATATGAGTCATTTCATATGTTGTAAAATGTTTTAACTTTCAGCATAGGACTATAGGCTATCTATTTCCAACAAACTAAATTTTTGATTTGGGGAGAGGGGGAGGAGGGAGGAAGAAACAGATTTGCAGAGCAACAATATTTATGGAACTCTGGACTTAAAAGGTGAACCCATAAATTAGTTCATGCGTTCAAAAGGATTAAATGAGAGCAATTTGATTTATTTTCAAAAGGCTAATTCAGTTTCCTCGTGGATGCGCCCTTATATCACATAGATCCATCCGCCATAAATGACCATATAGGCCAAACTCAAGTAGTCCCATTTATAAAAGTTTATTTTCACCAGATGCCATTTAGCAAAGGCTTATTCTTAAACGAGCTGTAATTGTCATTTTGAACATCTATAAGGCTCGCAACGCTTTGTCACTTTGCAGAGCAGCTGAAATATTGATCCACGGTCCTCTCTGCGAGGCATTATTTTCTGCTCGGATATGCTGCTGTGGGCTTCACGGTAACGATGCCCCTGATTAATAATCAGTGTGAAACCTATAAGTAGCCTAATTGACACGGTGCCTTCAGATGCCCCTTGGCTGGCCTCACTTTGCTCTAGACTTTTTTCCACAAAAGGCAGGACTATAGTGGAAACGAAAGACTATATTTTTCCAAACTCGTCGGCATATCCACATCCGCGCATGTATTTACAAGGCACTACTTGTTGGTCTGTGCCCTTTTTATGTTTGTAGGCTATTAATCGAATTGAATGCTGCTTGAAATGTGTCCTCAGAAGTGCTCAGAAAACCGTGTCCCTTATATTCTCTGCAAAGCAAATGTCAGGCCTACCTCGGCACAATGGCCACGGAGAGCCCACACACATAAACACACAGCTCGGGTCGTGCAGACATGGCAGGAGCTTATCGATCCGTATGAGAATGTGTAGATGAGGTTTGCTGCCATGTTAGGCCAAACCTTGGCCTTTCATAGTCGTCTGTCTTTTTACATCTAGTTTGTGTCTGTTTGCAGGTGTGCAGCAAAATAACAACAGAATACTTTGGCCTGCAATGTAAAAATAAAAGTTATTATATTTATAGTTTTATAGAATAATGTAAAATGGGTATTGGTCTGTATATTAGATGATTTTTTTAAAACTGAAAATAATTCTAATGGAATTAAAGTGTAGGTAGACTATACCTTAATACAGCGCCTGATAGACTTATTTTAAAATCAATATGTAAGTATATTCAAAGTATACTCGTTTTCTCGTTGTCAGCCTTTTTCGCCTACTTCTAAAGTCTATTATGTCCACGAGACTACGGTTGGACAGCCACACTTCGAGGAATTAGTGTCCTTTTGTCTCGACACACGTCACACACACGCCGTTGACATTGACTTCACATCAGAGACAGTTTAACTTCTTCTCTTTTTTTCTTTTCTTTTATTTAACTCGCTCAACCGCGCGCTGGGTCTATTGTGGGGGCCCTGACAGATGCGGGGCCCCTAGCAGGTCCTGGACAGGGAAAAGTATGAAAGGTTAATCTGTCCCCCCGCAGATGTTGGCTTTGGGAGTCTTGAAGCGTCACCTTTGACATGTCCCTCATTCAGCAGGGGGTCCAGCAGGACACTGACCGCTGCAAGCTGTCACCTCGGCCGGCTGAGGACGCCCTGCGCTACCGCTATATTAGGCTAAACGGCCCCTGACATGTAAGCAGGGGCCGGCTTTTATCAGGCAGCAGGTTTGGGGAGTTTGACACTCATGCAGCATAATGCACTACAACAACAAAGGGATAGCAGTCGTGTTATGTGTCAGCATGTCATTTCCTCCACGGCCTTGGGTTTTTATAGAGAGGCTGTGAATGTGTTTATGAGTGTGTGAAATTGTATTGTTTGAAAGTTTCTGTCGACAAAAATAAATGTTCTCTCATCTTAATAAATCCCATGTTGCCGTTTTATTTGTAATTGCACTGTGTATAGGCCAATGTTCATACTTAAAGGATTCTCAGAATTAAAGATTAAATGTGCATGTGTCCATCTTCAAATAGGACAAGCACACACAGACACACACACTGCTGGGCTTGGTTCGTTAAGCCTAATGGTTGAACAATAGACACATCTGCTCATCTTTTTCTATCAAAAGATAATGTACTACAGTCTTCTTCGTTTGGTTAAACCGCCACATATTTGTCAGGGGTGGGTGGTGCAGCTGAAGTAGCCTCAAAATGAAAGAATGGGTCTATGTGGTGTAGCTACTTAAATACATGTAACTTTTGTGGCAGTTCTTTAGCTGCGAATTAAATCAGCATGCTTTGTTGCAACGTTTGAAGCCTCTTTTTTCTGTTTTCTTGAGAATAAATATGCGTGTGTTTCAATGGCGATTTGGAGGTTTTGAATCCCAGATCTCACTAGTTAAAAATCAACTCCAAATGAACCCGGAAGTTTACTTCATTTGCACTTAATAATTTAAGGGGGACTGAAGATAAAGCCTCATTATAGCCCTAATGAATTTAACATTTTCTAAATAACAATTGACAATCAAACATTAGCCGCTGTATCCAGTCCATCTCCACGGGTCGATTTTTATTAGAGATCCGTCTATTAGCATTTTTTAACATCTGCGTAAAGGCTAAAGGCTGCTGGACACAGCTTGTCGGGGAGAAAAGCTTTTAGCAGGTGGTTTGATACCTCCCTTCCTTAATAAGGTATGTGACGTCAGCGCAACGGGGGGAGGGGGGCGGTGTGTGCGCGCTTGTGTTTCAGAGAGAGAGAGAGAGAGAGAGAGAGAGAGTATGGGAGGAGATGGGTGTTCACAGTGCGCATGTGTAGACAGCTATCTGTGCTGCGGTGGAAGAGGGGCTGGGAGACACACATCTAGAGAGATGGCGCGGCACCCGACCGGAGCGCAAGGACAGCTGGTTGGCGGTGGGGGGGCTTGAATCATAAAGAGAATTAGAAAATTGAAAAAATAAAAAACAAACAAAAACAACAAAAAGGAATTCGGAAAAAGGAGTTTCCATGCAAGACAGCGTCAGAGGAAGGAGGGAGAACTAATAGGTGAATATCAGGACAGAGAGGAGGCAATAATAGCAAAGGAGGCTGCTGCAAGAAGAAAAAAGCAACAAAAGAAATTTGAACTTTACTGGACGTGAGGACTTCTGGACACCAGCTAACTGCGGTAGGTCAGATAGATGGTTCGTCCACAGCGCTGCCCGGATCATGAACGCACAGCTGTCGATGGAGAATATTGGCGACCTGCACGGAGTGAGCCATGAGTCCGTGGCCGGTCACGGAGAGCTGCTGAGTGGCCACAGTCCACATTCCCGTCCGAGCCCTCGGGGTCTGAGCCACCGCGCTATGGGCATGGCGACCCTGCTGGAAAGCGGAGACTATCACCCCAGCCACCCCGGACACCTGCATCCAGCCATCAGCATGTGTGAAGCCCCCCCTGGCATGAGTGCGAGCAGCACTTACACCACCCTAACCCCCCTGCAGCCCTTACCCCCCATCTCCACCGTGTCCGACAAGTTTCCTCCCCATCATCACCACCACCACCACCACCACCACCATCCCCATCATCCTCACCCTCATCCCCACCAGAGGATCCCTGGAAATGTCACCGGCAGTTTCACGTTGATGCGAGAGGACCGGAGTCTAGCGCCTATGAACAGTCTGTATCCCGCATATCATCACAAGGATCCCTGCATGGGCCAAAGCCTCTCCCCGTTGTCTGGTTCCGGTCTGGCCAGCATACACACGACCCAGGCCGGCATCCCTCCCTACGCTCATCCTGGTGCCGCCATGCCTGGTGAGAAGATGCTCACCCCCAGCGGGTTTGAGGCTCACCACCCGGCCATGCTCGGCAGACACACGGAGCAGCACATGAGCTCCTCAGCGGGCATGGTACAAATCAACGGCCTCCATCACCACCCGCACGCCCACCTTAGCTCGCAGGGGCACGGCCAGGGGCTGGGGAACAGCCGGGAGCAGGCCTCCGGGCCCGGGCAGCAAGGGGGCGGCGGTGGAGGGGGTGGTGTTTCTGGGGGCCAGATGGAGGAGGTTAATACCAAAGAGGTGGCGCAAAGAATCACCACGGAGCTGAAGCGCTACAGCATCCCTCAGGCCATCTTTGCCCAGCGGGTCCTGTGCAGGTCCCAGGGGACCCTGTCCGACCTGCTGAGAAACCCCAAACCCTGGTCCAAGCTCAAGTCCGGTAGAGAGACCTTCCGCCGCATGTGGAAATGGCTGCAGGAGCCTGAGTTCCAACGCATGAGTGCGCTCAGGCTCGCAGGTGAGCGAAGCCTCGGTAAAGCCCACTTTTTGCTTTCATCCTCTGAATGTGTTGCTGAGAAAAACACGCTCAACCAGGATCATTTGCCCTGAATGCTACCTTATTGAGCAATGAGTCAAGTGGGCTGGGAAACAAAACTGATTTGGTAGTTTTTAGTGTAACAGAGTTTTTTTTTTAAATCCTGCAATCTGATTAGGCTAATGTAAAAAAAAAAAGAAAAAAAAAAGTGTCAAATCACATCAGTGTAGCACTCAGGACAAATGTTCCCTCTAGGCTGAGAGTTCTTTATCAAAATAACATATGTGTCTCCAGAAATGAAACCTGCTTTAGGGTTTGGTGAACCCACGACCCTGGTTTGTTTTAGAGATAGCCTATGTGATGCCTGTAGGGGAGGTCTGCTGGATGGTCAAATTCAACATTATACAGTGTGGTAAACAATATGTGAAGCTGCTAAAGTTGAAAAGTGCTTCACCAAACTGATGCTCCTGCACTACATGAGTGGCCTGATATCAATACGCATCCCTTTTCTGTCTCTACACTGAATTTGGGGTTGTGTGAAACAAGTGCTCATGTCATTTTACCTCAAAATATCGACCGCTGGACTGTGTGCGTAAGTTGATCCTTCGCCCAGAAATCGTTGGGAGCCTTTTTGGTGTTGCCCTTGGTGTAAACAGAGAGAGAAACGTGTGTGTGCACGTGTTCTTGAGAGTCTGCGATAAACTAAATTCGAATGTCAAGTAAAGCTGAAGTCCTGCATTATTTAGCCGGTGAAAAGGTTGTGTCTCTCACTTTGGTAAAAAATTATAGGCCTTCATTTCAGAATAGAATAAAAAAGAATAGAGTCGAGAGCATGTGTTTATGTTCAGGTTATAAACTAACCCTGACTTGACTGAAGTTTCTCTAATTAACTGATAGACCTCTGTATTAATTTGTCCCTGAGGTAGGCCTATGCACGAGTCAATTAGGGCGCGTAAGGAGGCCCAACTCGCACGTGCGCGTTCACAGACATCCGATGTTTTTACTTTTATAGGCCTAATCAATGACCTACAAATTAGCTTTTTTGGCCTTAGGAAAAGTGAGGCTGAGTCCACTTAGTGGAAAGTGCGTGCATTTATGTGTTTATTTATCGCGCATTTATCGCGGGTGTGCACATGTGTAATCGCAATAGATTATACATACATACATATATATATATATATATATTCAACATTCATTATCTCATTATTTAAATGTCGTGATTTTGAAAGCTGGTTTTGTAGATTTGTAGATAAATCAGATCAGTCGCCAATTCATTAGAAGTGATGATGGTTTGAAGGAAGAGAAATTCTGCTTCATTTGTATTCCCATTCACTATTTCTTGAGCAGGTTATGTCCTGTCTCATATACTACTCCCAATTTTTTATAAGAAAACAATACAAATCGATGTAAATCAAAGAAAATTCCAAAGCTTCTCTTGAGCAGAAACTTCAAATAGGCCTATATAATTATGGCTTTCTGTTGGCAAACGCCACCAAAAAAAAAGCTGGGAGATGAGAACATTTTACATTTTAAAGCTAAATTAATTTGGCGAGAAAGGGCTGAGCGCCATTTTATTGATCCGTTCTAGCTGAACTAGATATGTGATCGTGTGCTGAAGTAGATGTGAAATACTTATTGATTTTAGGCTTCTGAAATTAATCTCGGGCCTTTTCTCCCTTTCCCACGTATTCAATTACCCGTCTGAATTTGTCTGAATAAAATAAAATAAAATGGGTTTGAAGAAAGCATATGTGATTTTGCTCAGGACAAAATTAATGAATTCAGAAATGCGACACCAATTTAGTTGCAACACAGTTAATTGCAGAGACAGTGTTCAATGTTGGTTGGGATTTTTTGTAACGTTGTTTTAGAAATTTTAAGTAGCCTAAACATTGACTGCCTAAATTAGGATATCCTACACGTTTACACAAGAATAGTTAGAGGGTCGGTTTTCCAGTTGAATTTTTGGAACATTTTCAGCACAGAGGATCTGTTTGTTGTTCTCTTGTGCTCTCTGTGAGATTATGAAACGCAGGACTATCGTCGCACCGTGTTACTGGGCCCAGTGTGTGCAGTCTGTTGGAGTGTGTGGAGTTATCTGTGTGTTTGTAATGATTAGCCGTGTGTGTGTGTGTGTGTGTGTGTGTGTGTGTGTGTGTGTGATTAGCGTGATAACGAGGCCGTTGTTATGTCACCCTGGTCCTGGGAAAGCTGCCTCTCTGCCCGGGCCTCCCGTGCTGGGGCCGGGCCACTCTGTGGTGGCTCCTGCTGTCTGAGTGGCCTTCACTCCTGCTGATTTATAGCAGCCCTTACACGAGGAGCGGCTCTCTGTTAATATTTACCAGCACTGGCGACACCGGGCTGCTCAAACTCACAATTACATTCCGGTTTATGGTCATGCTAATAGGACGCTGCACTGTACTTTACCACACATCTGAGAAAAGGTGTGTTAAAATTAGTTTACAAGGTGGGATCGGCAAAATATGTTTTAATGTTTATTTTAATCTCTCACTGATGAAGCTCGCTGTTTAGGCCTACTTCTTGTTTATTTGCATTAGAAAGACAACATAGACTAGATTAGGCTACATCCACACTAAAGTCCAAAAAGTAGCCTATACGCCACTTTAAATGCAGTATTCACTATAAGCTACAAATTCCTTAGCCTATGTAATAGAAAGTTGTTGGTCATGTTGATAGAGCAGCATGGCTTTGATTGTTATTTTGAAATGGTTTGCTTTGTAGCCTACATTAGCCTACTGAGCTTTGAGGTTTTCTGTGATGCAATGTTTTAATTCACCACTGCTCATAATTTATTCATCATTATTTAAGAATTGCTCTGTGGTTAGAACATGCCGTTCACTAATTTCCCCAGTGAGTCGGGCTTTGCTCTAGCAGCCCACTTCTGCCCCCTCCTGGTCTCTGCTCACTGGTGAACATCAATTTGGATGGCTGTGCTGGGGTTAAAAAGAAAGAAAGAAAGAAAAAAACTAAATGAAATAGCAACAAGGTCAGTTGAAGAGAGGTTTTATTTGCTGCCAAACTGATTCCCAATTTCGTCTTTCCAATATTATATGATCTGCTGTTCATTTTTCCACAGCTGCAGTGTAGGCCTACATAATATTGCGGGCTGACGTTATTTTCAGCACCGCGGACAGAACTCGTTGTTCCCTGGCTGGCAGGCTTCCTGTCTGTCTGCTCTCCACCAGAACTAACGGAGCTCCTGCTCTGGTTCATGGCCCAACAGACGTCCATGGGACTCGATGGGGTACCTGACTTGAAGTTTAATTCCGCTATTATTTCGCATGTAACTCGGCAGTGTCCAATGAAAGGGGGTCTTGGTGACTGAAACGAAAGCACCACCTGCAGACTGTTGCATGATTCTGTACAAAGTTAGATCTGAGAGATCAAGTCTTATAAGAGGGGTGCTAATATAGGTAAAGGTCTTACCAACATTTAACATTGTCTCTGCAATTTATGATTCAATGAGAAATATGGCCTGAGTGCATTTTTTTCAGTACGGTTTCCAGCACATCATCATTAGAGCAGAAAATGTGCACCTTAAGTATGCAGTGCTTAGTCCAGTGTAGCCTATACTGTAGTAGGCTATAGGCCTACTTGTTTTTATCTAACTCAAACTGCAGCAGCTAGTTTACTAATTAAACAAGTTAAACCTGAGAGGATGACCTCTTATTCAAATCAGCTGATGCAGTTTTTGTTTCTGTTGTAGTCAGTTAAAAGTTATATAGGCCTATATTTGGCCCGATGTCACAAATGACAATTTGTCCCAATGGCCTCTGCAGAGATGGATAAGCCATTAACGTGTTCAAAATGTTTGTTTCCAGTATGGTTCCTGATGTTAATCACCAGTTACAGGTCAACCAACATTACTTTCACTTCTGATATTTTTTAAGGATTATGGGACTGCCATGTTTTGGTCTTTGTTTCTAGGATCATAATACTTGATACAATTGTCACATTGACAATATAAATTTAAGTGTTGTGGTGTCAAAAGTAAAAACAAAAATGTCTGAATTATTTTGATATATAAGTATCTCTATCATCTCTTTAGGACAAAAACAATCTTTATCAGAGTTAGTTTGGGTCAAAATGGACTGAAAAATATCAGATATTGGCATTGGCTTTAAATAATCACATCAGTATGTCCCAGTTAGAATGAAAACTAATAATAATTCATGGGTCCGTCCATGGATTTATTTAGGACCTTTTTTTGTCAAAGGTCAAGGTGTGATGGAGCCACAATTCTTGCTTTTATAGACGTATATTCTGCCCTCTCTCACCAACACACTCTCTTCCCTTCTGCCTCTTCCCTGAATTCTCCACAGCATGTAAGCGTAAGGAACAGGACCACGGCAGAAGCGAGCGGGGGAACATGACCAAGAAGCCCCGGCTGGTGTTCACAGATGTGCAGCGTCGGACACTCCACGCCATCTTCAAGGAGAACAAGCGTCCATCCAAAGAGCTCCAGATCACCATCGCCCAGCAGCTGGGCCTCGAGCTGGCCACGGTCAGCAACTTCTTTATGAACGCACGCCGCCGGAGCCTAGATAAGTGGGTGGACGACGGCTCCGGTCACTCAGTCAACTCTGGCCCAAACGCCTGCACCAAAGCCTGAAGACGGACTGATTTGACCAACTCATGGACTGACTCAACCTCGGTGGAAAAGCTTTAAAACTTAGGAGAAACAAAGAGAAACTTAAAAAGACCTTGAAGCAACATTTTGCCCTTAAACCTGTACTATATTGATATTTATAGTATCCAAAGATGAAAAAACAAACCAAAGACTTCTTGTTTGACCTGCTTTGAAATGTTTGTTTCAGCAACACGTTTATGTGTAACATACTGCAAAAAGACTATAGTTTTACCCCCCTCTCACACACACACTCACTATCACTGGTCTATAGCTTTACTACACACCACATCCCCCACCCAGTATCAATCTATCATTCGCCATCCTTATCTTTAATCTGATTGGTTGGTTTTAATGATGGGTCCTTAAATGGAGGTTTAATCAGCCTACTCGCAGTCTGATCAGCAGCTGTCCACACCCTTGAAAAACAGCCCGAATGTGGAGCTCCAGTGGGATTGGCCAATCAACTTTGAAGACAAAAAAAAAATCCTACAGGGGCGACTGGATTGTTGTGCAGCCTTGTTTGGATCGGTGGACTGTCTGTCTGTCTATCTGTCTGTCTGTCCTGCCGTCTGTCGTTCTATCAAGCATTCCAGACAGACAGGTATATGCCCATGCGTGGACTGCTAACCCTAAACCAAACCAAAAAAGAACCCCTAACCTCAACCCACATGGTAGTGCTTTCTTCCAACATGCTGAAGCGTTGAATAATTGAAACAAGAAAAAACCAAAGCCTTCTACACCCTGAGGCCTCTCATGCAGCTTAGAAACACAAACCACTTGCTATGAAGTAATTAGACCAAAGAGTATGTTTTGTAGTTGATCATCTATTTTTTTACCTCATTTGCTCCCTTACCTCCTGAGACAGACTGTTAAAGAAGAGCATGTTACTGCTTATGGTTCATACAACATTTTGAGTCATACTTAAATTTATGCTCCCTGCAAACGGAAAGATTATATATAGGGCACAACCCTGAAAATTAGCTAGTGACATTTGCCTTATAGATGCCTTCTTGAATCAAACTAAATATTCCAGTGAGATCTCCCCAAACAATCCACTGAATGTTCCTTTAAATGCTTAATGTGAAGATTCATTATTATAGAGACATCCTTTCAGTCTGCAGATTCAGCGCAAGTTGATGTGAGCAGCTGGCAAACAAAGACTAAATCATTCATAGTGTTTCTTCTGCAAAGGTGAAAACAGAAGATGCTGGTTCTGATGCTCTATGTGTTCTTGACACTGTGAGGGAGACAGACGGCCTCTGATGTTTTTGTTTTTTTTAGGACAAACTGTGTCACCCCTCTAATAATAAGCTCTCAGCATCACTCCATTGGCCCCGTGTGCTTCATACGTATTTGATTGTATCTCCTCATCAAATCTTGGGTGGAGGGGATGATATCAATGATCGAATCACTTTCAGGCGCTTACACAGCAATGTCAGCTTGTCACCCGAATACGAAAGCACCCCACCCTGCCAGTTGCCAATCCCCACCCCTTACCACCCCACCCCCACCCATCCTTCTTCCGCTCTCCTGGTAAGCCATGCATTTCAGCACTAGGAGGAAAGCACTACACAGGGCTGGCGCAGGGCAGCATATCATTAAATATATTGAGCTGGACCCTTGCCGTCATCCTCCTCATGGCCAGGGTTAGCAGCTCTACATTCATCAGTACAAGCGCTGAAGGAGAGGCGAGAGAGAGCTGCTTCTTCATCTCTGAAAGAAAAAACCAAAAAGACGACAAGAAACACAAATGTGTCGAGACCTGCTGATGTTTTATAGTGTGAACCAAAGATGCTACCTCACTCAAGTTCCATACGTGATTTCTATCACTTTGATGATACCAAAGATAACCAAAGATTTTTTCTCATTGCACGGCCTCTATGAGTGGTGTTAAAAGATGCTGTATGTCTCCCCCTCCCCCATCTCCTATCTCACTCTTTCTCTTCCACTCATCTCTCCTTTCTCCCCCTCCCACCTGCACTCAGCCCATGCACCCCTGCTATGCGTGCTCTTGCTTCATCTGTGCTCTGATTACAGCTCCATAATAGTCATGCTGATGTAGCTATAGGCAGATTTGCTGATCTAGCCATAGATACACACAAGCGGCCACGCGGGTGCCTGCGGGGTACAACGCCCTCGCTAGCAATATGATCAGTCTGTCTCCGTGCTTGTTAGCAGTACCAAAGGATTCATTTCTACCACTTTATTGGCAGATAAAATGGATTAAAAAGAAAAAGCTGACATTGCGGCAATATGTATAAAAAAAGATTTAGTTGATTAAAAAATAATCTATGTAAATTTGATGGCGTACCCCGGCGGAGTGTCTTTTTTTACAGCATTATTTCTACTTGGCCCTGCCTCTTAGTGTGTACCTATAGGTTGATAATATTGATCCACCAAATAGGTCAGACATCTTTAAATGACAATAGGCAGACAAGCTGACATAGCCTTGGGCAGAATTGTTGACTCAACTATAGGCAGATATGTTCCTGAAAGTAGAAGCAGACGTGTTGCAATCTTTCTAAAAACTCCCAGGACGAGTGCCTTGCTTGAACCAAAGTGTTAAACCGCTGTTGACCTCTCACCTTTGACTCTGTGAATACCTCAGCCTGTAGAAGGGCCACAACTGAAGAAACAAGGAAAAGGGTTTTTTTTGTTGTTTTTTAAAATCACACCGTGGTGCTTTCGCCAGCGCAACCATGCAATGAAAACATACCAAAGGAATTTATGTTGTCCACTTCTACAGATTAAACCAAAGGTCTTTGTTTCTCCTCTCCCCTGCCCCCTTTCACCCCTCCATCCCTCCTTTCCCCAACCTTCCATGTCTCTCTACTGTGGGTAGGAAGGTCCAGCACTCTGGCCGTGCATGTCTTTACTAATGTCTCTGAATACCTCATAGTAATAATTCCTTTGAGTTCTGCATTGAGACGTCTATCTGTGAGTAAGGCAGAACTCCACTCGCGTGGTAACTGTTATTGTTACTTCAAAAAGCTGTATGATTATCTATTTTAAAGTTGTTGTTTTTTTGGAAGAAGTGCTCTGTTTCAAGTCACAAAAGGACAAGTTTCAGGGTTGATGTATGAAACTTAAGAGATGGAGGGAGAAGCGTATTTTTTATCAGACATTGGGTTATGCCAATATTATGATGGTAGACTATTGCTTTTACAGGGTAAAACCAACTGCTGTGATATTGTGTTCATATTTTCCCTTTTCTCTACTGCTGTGTTGTGACTTTAATTTAATTTGCATTTTTGTAATGGTTAACCACTGCTTTAATTTATGCATTTGTAGAAACTCTAGATTTGTATATAGTAGGTTTTTGAAAAAAAACAAACAAAAAAGACAGTTTTATGTTACAGCCTTATTTCCCACGCTTAGATATAAACAAAGGAGTAGTTTGTATTCTTCTTCAGCTAAATCCTAGCCGGCATTTCAATGTGTGTTTTAAACACTGCCAGAAACCCAGACAGTTGATTTGCCAACACAGACAAAGTTATACAGGAGCTACTTTGTTGAACAACTGGCAAAAAGCAGTGTGTATGTGTGTGTGTGTTTTTTCTATTCTTTTGACTTTTTAAAACAGTTATTTTATGGGTATTACTGCACATCCAAAGATTTTTAAAACAAACCAAAAAATTGGAAAAAAAATATGTATAACGTTGAAAAGCACTGGCATTTGTGAGGTAGACTTGTTGAGTTTTGATTTGCCATTCGCACGGGTATAGAATGTAGAAGGCGTAGGGCTCTGTAGACAAGCTTACTCTACCATGTGGGGAATCTCCTGTTCAATGTACAATCTGAAGCATTTGAAACAAGGACTGCAAGTCCTGCTCACTTTGCTGTCTCATGCACAGAGTGAGGTGGAGTATAGGCTGGGCAGCCGGTCTGCCAGGGGCTGTGCCACGGAGCTGGGTCTGTTTTTAATTGCCGTGGCACTGCCGCCTCGCTCCATCTAGTATCTGTTCTTTTGGTACGTACTCGTGTAATGACTATGAGCAAAGTCTAATAAAACTGCAAAGAACCTTACCAGTGTGTAAGTGTGTGTGGAGACAGTCACCTGGATTGCTCATTCCTTTTTCTGTGTGGTTAAGTGCAAGTGTGTGTATGTGTGTGTGTAACTCAAATGTCAAGTACTGCTGAGGTATGCCAGTTCGTGTGTGTGTGTGTGTGTGTGTGTGCTCGTTTACGTATATTTCTTTACTGTGTGTTCATCCATCCATAAAATCTGTATGTACTGCTGGTGTGCCTGCATGTGTGTGCGGCTGATTGGTGCATGTCACAACAGTAAGTTTAAGACTCCCTCTGGCTGTCAGAGCCCTTACTGTTAGTACTGCTTCACCTCTGTCATGCACATGGCACAGTATCTCCAAGGACTGAAGGTCATCACTAAAATGTCCATGACAGATCACATCAGCATGTTATGCAGTCTTTGTGTCACAGAATGGAGAATGTAAATGTTTTCACGTTTTCTATTATTTATTTTGTCAGTAAGGAGTTCCCATGTGATGGGTAGCTTGGCTACAAGTCTCATAACAATACTGCATCGCCTAAGACAATCACCTGGATCTCTTACGCTGGGGAATGAGTTTCTTACCCGGACAGGGGTGTCCTCCAGCTATTCATATACAAAGATGCTTGAAGGGTTTTGATAAACAAGCATATTTGTTGTCATGGACATTTAGGAATACATTACAGTAGTAGTTCATCTTGCACTTCAAAATGAAATCTCATTGCTCTCGCTCGTCCGCCTTGTGCTTTTGTTAAACTTGATCTTTTTCTTTTGACTTCCTCTTCAACTCACAATGCTTCTTCAGTTTTTGTGTGTGTGTGTGTGTGTGTGTGTGTGTGTGTGTGTGTGTGTGTGTGTGTGTGAGCCCGAGTATGCCTGAGAGGCACCACTGTTGGTGTTACTCTCAGATGTATTACTCCATGTCTCATGACTTGATTTGTCATTGCTGTTTCCCAGGCTTTGCTACTGCTTTCTCAGTGCCGTGCAATATCATCTGTTGTGATTGCTAAGCAAATTTTAAAAAGAAGGAAAGAAAATTGAGAAGCAAGTGATGATGTCATCCAGCTTTTTTCAGTGTTCAAATGTTTCAACATTTCTGTAGTCGCAAAAGTAGAAAATAAACGGTTGGTATTTCCAACTTCTGAATCCTGGCTCTTGTTATTATTTTATTTTTGGTGTGTGTGCTTTGTCTTCTTTTTTTTTGTTCAGACAGGCAAATTGAATCAATAAAACATCAAATCAGATGAGGAAGTAGAGGACAAGACAAGCAGGCATATAAGTCTGTCTTGGATGGGAACATGCATGACAAGTCGCCTGAGAAGATCAGTAGAGTTTATGTCATGCATCTTTACTTAAAAACACTATACATTTGGAAATATCAAGCTGTTTAAACCAATCAATAATTAAAAACCTCAGTATCTTATAAAGACCATCAGCAAATTATTTTTAAAAATGTGGGATGGGAGGTTCATTTTATTCAAATTGTAAATTGCAAATTTTGGAGTAAAGTTTTACAATGAACCACAGTCTCACAACAAAGGTATGTATTGATAATTTTACAGAGCTGTAAAATCTTTAGTCAGTTAACTTAGCCACCTCTTTATATACTGCTGTGTCATGTAGTTTTAGGTTCACCTAAACCCTTCAGAGTCAGCCAGATTTGAATCCCAAAGGAAAGAAAAGCAAGGTAATGTGGCCCTTTAAATAATCAAATAATCACAATCATAACTTATAAATGAGCAAAGTCCTGAGTTTAGAAAAAGTTGTCTAGTTTAACGTTTTATCCTTAATATATTTACCTTCACTTACATAGATTAATGAATGAGTGAAGCCAAGCTGAGACATCCACACTTTAACCCATCAGTGGTTTCATTGATTGAACTCAGTAACACAACTATAAAAGAAGTAGCCTAAACAGTTTTTTCAGTTGGTTTCCTCTGTTTGTGGTGCTAAACCCCGCAAATCCATCTGTAATCCATCACCCAAAGGTGATATGTTGAACTCTGATTACGCTGATTCAAGGCCTGAAGGCAAACTCTTGCACGTAAATAGGGAAGGCTAAAATATATTTGTTGTCTTCAGGCTTACATCGGAAGTTCAAATTCTTGATGGTCTAATAAGTACATTTCTCAGTTAAACATTGAGTCAGTGGTAAATCATTGATCCTCATCAAACTGAGCCAGTGGACAGCAGATCTCGCCACTGTTTTGGTCTACGGTTGAACCAAAACTTTGTCAAACTTGTCAAAGAAGCCAAACTAGACCCATGCCTGGACAGTCGTTTCCTTTAGGATGCAATGAGGGACAATGTAAGATGGGTCAGCTGAGCTATGTGTGAAGACACTTGGTGAATATTGTGTTAAGAAAAGTAAACATAAGACACAAGGTACGCTACTTTTGTGAGCAAGAACATGATATAATCTAGTTTCAGTCATCCACCTTACTTGCTAACTAATGCTCATGGGCCTTTGTGACCTCCTACAACTATAACTATTGTGTGTGTAATGTGTGTCAAATGTGTGTGTGTGCATACGCTTTTCAACTTTTTAAATGGGTCAAAGTGAACTGAATAAAGGCACTGCAGTGTGCCACACAGATGAAGGACAATCTCTTATTTATGAATGTACTTGCCTTGAATGAGGATGATGGAGTCATGGGACAATGACCCAAGGGAGTCCCACCACTTGGCAACATGTCCACACAGTTTCACCTCAGGTACAGTCTTATTTGTACAACATTTAGCTTTCGGTCTCTGGAGTCTTCCTGTGTCCCTCTTCTCCTTTTTACTAGATAGACAGACAGACAGACAGACAGACAGATAGATAGATAGATAGATAGATAGATAGATAGATAGATAGATAGATAGATAGATAGATAGATAGATAGATAGATAGATAGATAGATAGATAGATAGCGCTTCCTTTTATTTGCTGCATTACTTGTATCCTGCCACTAGATGGGGCTATGACATTTATTTTTAAAAGCACAAGAACTTTGTTGGCATTTGCCTACATTCTTAAAGGGAAAAGTCACACTAAAAGAAGATCATTTAAACCCACTAAAGCATCAATACTTATAATGATGTTTGGTTTTATTACACTAAACAGTGTGCACTATGGACTAAGATATCAAATCCAAATGAGCTTTAAGTGAATGCAGATCTTCCAGCTGTGAATCAGGAAATGTCCCCATATCTCTTTAAAATAAGCAAGGGTGGGGTCACAGCTTTCTGGGAGTTGCTACTGTTAGCTCCAGGATTTATCTCTTCATGTCATCATCAACTAGATTCAGCTTCCCCTTCACACTCATAAGATTTTTAATACAACTCTTTTCTTTGGGCTGTGATTTGCTAGTTGCAACACTACAACTAACAAACAGTGGCAAAGTCTGAGCACCAAGTTAACTCAAAGTGGCAAAGTTTGCAAAGCTGCTTCACACCAAGCATTTTAAAAAAAAATTGGACTGAAAGTCAACGATGGTGGATTCTTCCTACCACAAGGCATTTCAACCACTGGAGTCTGCATTCATTGTACCATGTCTCCCTACTTAATGTGAAATTAGTTTTATTGTAGAATTCCCCTTTAGCCCTGTAGCTAGGATTATTGGCATCTCATGTTGGTCTGCTGTCAATGTTGTTGTTAACTACTCAGGAGCACACTCTGAATTTTTGAGCCCTTTAATCCCTGACGGCCAACAATCACCCTCAACAGCACCCCTTACACAGCTGTTTCCGAGCTAAACCCCTGATAGGAGACCACAGGGTTTCTTATGCTATCATAAGATAGATAGATAGATGGGTTTATGGATAGACTGTTAAACATAATTTTGGTGTATATCTGTTACAGTAGTAGACTAACTTTGTAAACTTTGTTCCCTCCCCAGAGGGGGCCCATAAACAACTGGCAGATGCTTGCATTGTCATTGTGGACTTTATGACCCTATTCTCTGGGTAAATTTGATTATATTTTGATGAATTGTTCAGTCCTACCCTGTGACAACAACAGGATATAGAATTTTTCTTTTTCAGTAGTCTATCCAAAATATTACAATAACACTAGTCATTTTAACCAAACTCCAGTCCCCTCTATAGAATATATTTGTGTGTAGCAAAGAACAATAACACACAAAGTGCAAAGCAGCTGCCAAACAGATTGGTGAAGCAGATTCTAGTGTCCTCATTTTGGCCTTTGCCTTTTGTCCCCAAGAGGTCTTAGCAGAGAAGAGATTAAAACAAAGAGCTCTCCCTCTGTCCTTTTCCATTTGTACCAAAATAACAATGGATCTCGTGCTGAATTTATTGGGTTCTGGATCTACCTTTTCACTTAAACTTAACATTTAAAGTTGACTTTTAAGTTAAGTTTAGTTCTTTTAGGTCAAAGGGCAGTCTTTTTTACAATGAGGGGTCAACTGTTGAATGATAGTGGATATTGTACCACATCTCTACCATTACTTTGCCACATTGCCTTGGGCTGGACTATAGTTTTTATACTTTTCTGACTGACTGTTTAACAGTCGTTCCCCTATTATTGAAAATGGCTGAAGCTCCCTTTTGTTGGACGACGTAACAAATAACAAATATGTCAGTTCGCTTGTCTGAAACATGTACGAGCCAAAACATTCTTTAATTTTTGAAAAGTGACAACGAATGAAAAGCTGAAACAAAGTCCTTGCCTCTGGCTGATATCTAGTAATTTGCCAGGAACTTCTCAGTTGCTTTATAAGTAACTTCGCCAGTCAAGACTTTGTACTACAACATATAATAGCATTACCTTAAACCATAGTGCACACCATAGGCTTCAAACAGGCCAGTACAAAATGTTCACGACGAAAAAAAACGAGCCCTCACGTGCGCACGTGAACGCGCACCGAACCCCACTGACCAATCAGCTTGCGAGAGTAGCCCGTTCTGTTGTTGGTCCCGTTTCCCTGGCCAAACATCAACGGTCATTGATGTAACAGCAGTGAGAGAGAAAGCTATACAGGCCGTTGTTGTTTTTTTATATTTCTTTTCACCAGAGACGTCTTCCTCACAAGTTCTGTTACCACTTCTAACTTGGCGGTTGCTATGGCTGCGAGTTCATGCGAGGCTGGCAGAGAGGGAGGAAGTGACGACTGGGTCTGTTGTTGGGACACGTGACTGGAGCTGCGCTGATCTGTTTTGACAAGCGGTGGGGAGGGGAGGCAGACTGTAAAGCATCACGACTAGGAGGACTCACTGTTCCTTTCATCTGCATTTCGCCTGAAAAATATTAGTATCGAGATAGTCTTGTAATTTCAGCAGTCAGCTTGGCCTGTCAGCGGTAAATACCAACTGCTGCTCGGTAAACCCTCGTGGAAAACGTTGCTGTGTTGCCGAAGCTTTCCGAGCAGAGTCGGGCTGTTTGTTGTAGGTTAGAAAAGTTTTAATGAAGATCGCAAAGGAAGTCAGTACAGGTGGCGTTTCTAACATTAAGTAGATGGCGACGGTTCCACCGCTGTCGATGGATAGAAATTGGCCCATACCCGTGTGATATCACCGGTTTTCGTGAGAATAGTGATACGCTGAATGTGCTCTCGCCGTAGCAAAAAAATAAATATCGAGACCGTCCGTCGTCGGGAAGCGGTGTTTGTTGCTGAGCCGTGGCTACCTGCGCTACAGTGGGGGGTTGGGATGTTTGTGAGGTCGTCGTCACCAATAGACGCTTGACTACACAGTAACGATAAAGTTAGTTAGTTTGTGTTTGCTATCTAGCTCACACTGCTGAGTTAGCAACCCCCCGTCCTGGCAGAGCGCCGTTGTGAGGAGCCAGTGTTGCAGGAGATGAGACACAGAAATGCATCGCGACGTAACTGTGGTTCAGGTGGTGGAATTTGAGACTGACTGTGAGAGTAGCCAACTTGCTAGTTAAATTACTAGTAGCCAGATTGGTTACTCGCTAGCAGGCAGGTTGGCATCTCCATTACCAAACGCTGACTGTAACTGGCATTCGCTATCAGCTGTCTTTGTGTTAGTCAGTTGGACAATACAGTGCGACTCGATGGAAGCGTACAGTAGCATGCTAACAAAGCAATGCTTTGTTGTTGGATAGGGGGCAGCTGGCACCAACGCACAGGCTTCACAGCTGATATTATTGCTTCGCTAATACAGCAGGTCTCAGTCACAGAGGGTTTGGGGGGTCCAGACACCGTTGTGTTGCTGTCAAGACTGTGTGTGTGTGATAGAAAGAGAGAAGACCTTGCAAGAGGACCCTGAAGGCAACCTGATGACACTGGACAACATGAAGCCCGAGCGAGGTATGTGGGGCACCAAAAACACACAGACACATGTGGAGTGGACTTGATGGTCAGTGTGTGGGCAAGCTTTTTGTGCACTGACTGTACCCATTCCCCTGAGAGAAGATTCAGGCCAGGGAATTATGTAACAGCCGGTCAGCCTGGTCACTGGTTATGTGAATTAACAAAGCCTGACCTGAGTCGATGAGGACGTGTACATATAACACGCATTTGGTGCCCTAGTTTTGGATGTTACCACGAATGTCAGCTGTCTCTTTTCCCCACTGTTGCATCAACATATAACCTGCAAGATCCTCTCATGCCAAATGCTCTTCCCTTTTTTGCCAGTAGCTCTTGTTTTGACAATCTCTTGCTGCAAAATGTACTTGACACCCACCCTGTTGTGGAAATAAGGCTCCTGCCTTATGCTCTGCAACCTGTTTACATGTCGCTATATCTGCAGCAGGAGGTAAAACAGGGACAGAGGGGACACCCTTGTTTGTTTCAATGTGATTATGATAATTTTACCACTGCATTCATTTGTAAAGCGCATCTCAGAACCTTAATCTCTGCCCTGACACAATTAAAAAAAAAAAAAAGAAAAAAAAAAAATAGGTGGTGTTGTCAACAGCACAATAGCACCATACTTGGAAGCAGTGAAGTGCCACTGTACTCAGTCATGATGACATTATCTGCAGTCAGTCGGGGTAGTCTGTATGTTTGCATTGGTTATGAAACTGCAGTCAGGTTGCTGACTGGCCTGAGTGAGATCTTGCTTAGAGCACAAAATACTTGTAATAGGACTCCAAAACAAACTGTAAACATGTGCCCTATATGGGCCTATACTTTTAACCCTAGCCTTGCCTTGCCCGTCCTTGCTTGTACAATCCTGCGGCCTTTATATAGAAGCACTGACCCAGACATCTGTGTGATGTGACTAGCCAGAGAAAGGGCACACTGACTGGCACTGTACTGTGTAATTATAGCCTAATAATGCAGCACAGCATGCTGGGTCAACTGTGAGCAGCAAACGGCAACACTGCTGTTGTATGTTGGATTATTGGTTGGGATAATGACTCTCAAATTGGGGGATATTGAGATGATTTAATGTACCAAATACTCAGTGTGTGTTTATTTGCCTCCTATCAGCCAAAAGGATTGAGAACTGTTGGCCTAAGGCACATTACTACAGCGAGTCTGTTCGTTGCCATGTTGTTGCCATGTCAAGTTGGCTCTCTCACTGTCATGTTCTAATTATGAAAGCTTGTGCCAGTAAAAGCTGCTCCACAGCGGTAGCTCCCTATTTGACTGGCAGACACAGTGGGGCTATTGTTATTTGGAACATACTGTGCCGTTCCTTTGGTGGAGATACCAGATTGCTTCTCCTCTCCCTGCTCTCTGAGAAAGGGACTGCAGTGGTGAGAGAAGCTGTTTATTCAGAGGCTCGGACCACAGCACGGTTGAGTTGAGCACAGAGCAGGCCCTTTCACTGCTCTAATGCTGGATTGAGGGTTTCTAGGAGAGCCTAGCTATGTTAAGTTTGAAGGGGAGAGTTGAACAAGTCCAGACGTGTGTATCTAACCCCAGCCCTCTAACCCTATCACTAATACTCCTTCAGCAAGTCTCACAGGCTGCAGCCTCCTGTTCAGGTGGGTGTGAAAAGTCAAGCCAAGGCTTTAGGTGCGTGATGAGGTGCTAGAATCAGACTGAACCCTGCCCTGCCATATCTTGGCACCCTCGCTCCACCTTTAGCACTTTGAGAGGGGACTATGGGAACTGGTGGCGCTGAAGTTCAACATATCAAATCCGTGTCTGTGCTCGAACATAATAAACATATCCCATGTCAGGCTGACGTGACCAATCCAAATTAAGTTCTATGTCTTAGTCACTGCCATAACAACACCATTTTATAAATCTTCAGAACAACATCAATTCAGAAGTCTAATAATAGTTTCTGTATGAATAGCCCCACATACACATAAGACATGATGTCTAGTGATGTCCTCATATTAACTTACACTTGGACGATTGATCCTAATTGGTTCAATACTGCATGGCATTTGTATTTAAGGGCAGGATCACACCTAAAGGTCCAGTTCCTGAAGAGAACCAATGCAAGGATAATACTTTGTTTAAATTTGACAACTGGCCCGGTTTACATTTACAAAGGTAAAAATCAAAAGGTCTATAAATTGTCAACAAAAGCCATGTAGCGGAAATGGCAGTCGATTATTGGTCATACAGTCAGCAGATAAAAAAATCAAACCCCTCACTCGAATACATTCTCCTTCATTTTATCGCTGAATATTCTGTCCTTATGCACCTTCACTAGTAATTGAGAAACATTCTCCTCAGCCCAGATATTCAGGAGGCATCTCACTTTGTTGAGTCCAGGTTTGTGCCCTGCTAACAGTGTTTTTCCTGGCTCAGAATGGGCCTTTGGGGGGTGACTTCGCGCAACAGTAACCATAAGTAACCAGTACGCGTACAGTAAAGGCAGTGAGTTATCTTATGACCGAAATCTATGCATTTTCTTGTTATTTCTGATCATTTGATAAACAAAATATATCCACAACCTGGAGGAGTAAAGGTATACAAGTAAAGTATAATGTTAGTATAATAGTATATTTACAGGTTACACTTGATTTGGATAATTTGCATACAGATAGTTCATTAGTTGAGATTCAGCTGTGTCACAAATAAAACCTTTCTCTGAAATTAGCCTACACCACTGTGGTTAAGGTTTGATCAGCACTAATGTTTGTGTATTTATTATAATTTCAGATAATAGTACAGGCTACGATAGCTTACCATTAATTGCCTATAATATTAATTCCAGCTGGACAAAACGGCAGTTTAATTTTTGTGGGTTTCTTCAGTCATTCAATTATTGAGCAAGAAAAACGCTCTAGGCCTACTTGGTGGTTAGTCAACGAGTTCAACATTTCTAAACTTTGCTGGAGTGTCTCAGCCTTTTTTTAATGTCCCGCCTTCTCCATGCTGTGATTGGTCAGTTCACGAAAAGTACTGGCGAGCATCTATGCACGGCTGCATGAAAGGCTCCCTGTTCAAAAGTGTGTTCACACCAGAAATTAACCGCTTCAGAGTTCACTTGACAGCAGTCCGAGACCACCTCTTTGAGGCGGACCAGAGGCGGTTGTTTGGTCCGCACTAGAATTCGAGTCCAGCGTTCGCACCAACCCAAACAAACCGCACCATCATGGGGATTATCGCTTCAGGGTTCAGCCAGACTAAACAAGGCTGGTGTCAACCCGCCCTAAAAAAGGAAAAACAAAAAGGAGCACTGGCAGCTAATACCATGAGTTGTGGCACAAGAATTGGTGTCCAAAGAAAAAAGCAGCATCAGTCTGAGCTCTAAGTCTGAACTTCAGCTCCTGATATAAATCAAAGAATTAAGACTTATGATCTTGCAGCAACGCTTTGTGGCACCTTATGAACCATGCTTTTATTATGAAGGAAGAAGAAGAGCACTTATGTTCTGCTCAGGGGCCTAACCAAAGTCATCTGACCCCCTTGTTTTCCTGTGAGTTGAGCTGTGAGTCAGGATGGTGTGTGTGTGTGTGTGTGTGTGTGTGTGTGTGTGTGTGTGTGTGTGTGTGTGTGTGTAGTACATGGGGTGCAAGGAGAGGGTGAATGTAGCAACAGATTGCTATTGGCCCTAATGAGCACTGTACCGTTGAACCATGTGGCTCAACTGACAGCTTTTACAGGTCCCATAAAGAGCAGCTATGGAAAACGTGGGAGCTGTTTACACCAGTCAAGGTTCAAACAGTTTCCGTTGAAGTGTGGTTAAGCTGAGTTTTATTTGCATCCTGGAATTGTTTACAGCATAAAAATAGGCTGTTTCTGCTCAACTGCGGCGGTGCTCCTTACAACCAGATCACTGAAGGGACAAAACAAAAAAACACTTTGTGTTATATGGTTATATGAGGCCATCTTGGGAAATGTATGAGCAAAGAGCTAAGAATGCCTCCACCTTTATGCCCTCAACCACAGCTCTCATTCTCTCCCCCCTTTCAGACACACATTTAACAACACACACAGAGATGACCTCCGCGCTGGTCATGTTTGAGAGACTCAGTCAGCTTGGCCAGCCTCAGCGCTGTGCTCCTGCTCTCTGTGTAATGCTGTTTGGTGTGTTTGTTTGATGGTGCTTCCTGTTTGGAGCAATTAGTCCTTTAAGGAGGAGCCCCCCCCCCAATTTACTCCACTACCTTCAGCCATGCGCTCAGCCAGATTACAGCTGCCTTGAGATGTCCCAGCCACATGCCAGCGGATCAGACTATACACTCTCACTGATGAGAGACTCAGATAATGCAGAGCGACACACACTGTTGTCCTGTGCAGCACCTGTCTACTCCGGTGTTGTCTTTGCCTCTTCCTCAGCAGTGATTTATCCTATAGCAGCAGGCAGCCACAACAAGTGCTCTCCTTCGTTTTACTCCCGTCACACAGTTGGAGTCTGTCTGTGTATTTTTCTCACTTTTTTGACTAATTTATTTACTGAGTCCCTGTTCTCAAGGTTTTTAACTACAGCAAAACAAGTGCTCGTTGGTAGTACTGTCTTTTCAGGTAGTTGGTAGTACTCTGTGTGACAGTTGGAAACCAAGGGCAACAGAATCACTGAAAACCATAATCTTTTAGTCATTTAAAAGGTCTGCTTGCCTTTCCTATTTATGCGTACACAATCTTACAGTAGGTATACATTTCATCAACTAGTTTAATTTTCACCTTATAGCCTTTTAATACAACACCACTGCTATTTGCTGACCCAGCTGCACTGAACATGGATATTGGACTCCCCATTGTACAGCGAGATTCAGAGCAGCCTTTCGCAATGAATACCAATACTGGGTAGGCATTCAGCTGTGAGTTACAATCCTGGCCCCTGGAGTAATCAGCCTAAATCAATGCTGTTGTGACAGCTTTGACTGTAAGTAGCCTAGCCTTGCCTAGCTGCTACATTGGATTGGGCAACCAGTCCCCCCAGTCCAGCAATG